TAATCCTCCTGTGCACCATATTTACTTTGTGGCTAGACAGATACTCTCATATTCAGCATGTCCTTCTGGCCCCAGGCATGTGATGCATGAATGCAAAGTAATATAAGGGGGAATTCTGCTATCCACACAAGTGATTGAGTCTTTCAAATATGTACAGAGGGAATTTTTCTTCACCTTATTCAGTATGAATGCAAGGAAAGGAATTTATAAGCTTGGCTCCCTTGCCCTTCTCCTCTCAGAAAATGAGAAGCAAAGCAGTGGGATACACAGGAAGGAATGGGGAGACAGTTTTTAAAATTTACCAAAAAGTCTAGAGGCATTTCAGAAATCTCCAAGGAAGCAGAATGAGAACATTCTCATTAAAACCTCATCAGGTGCCTATCTAGGACTTCAGCTGTTTAAATGCTCCATCCAAAACTGTGTTGTTTTTTTACTTTGTGATTTGTGCTTCTCCTTTCACAACAGGCAAAAGTGGCTGGACTGAAAGATCCAGGCCATACCGAGCCCTGAGATTTGTTTGCTTAGGTAAACACTGCAGGGTTAAGCATTGTCTGAAATCCTACCCCAGCATCCTTATCAGGAGAGGCTACAGCAGGAGAACTGATCAGAATGTCAGCTCACATCCCAGACGCATGGAGACCTTTCCTTTGAGGCTCTATCCCACCACTGCTACACAAAAACCTTTGGGTGGAACAGTTTTCTTTTACAAGACTCAGTCATAAAAGGTACCTGGAAGGAGGTGAGACAAGAGAAATGGCTCTGCTCACCTGCAAAACTTTTGGGTGCTTCCCTACAAGTCTTCAACCATGAAGTGTTAAGGCACCTTCTTGCTAAGAGCTCTGGCACTGCTGTCACAGTGTGCCACTGTGTCCACGTCCAAGCAGTGACTGTAGGACACTTGTTTGTGACAAGATATCCACTGAGTCCCATACAAACGTGATATTACTGTTGTGTAGTGAGGTGTTTGGTCTAAACTAAAAAAAAAAATTTGGAAAGGAGAAGAGGAGAAAGGTTGGTTTTCAGTTTAAGGACTTCTTCTTCAAGAGAAAAATTGCAGAAGTACCCCTTTATATAAAAGTAATTTAAAAACTTTATACCGACTAGCTTGCTTTTCTTCTTAAAGCTTTTGTAGATGATTTATGAAAAGTGTTATTTCTATTATTCAAGCATATGAAAAGAAGAAAATTAACTCATTGCATTATGTGGACAGCCAAAAGAAGAGTTAAATGGACCATACGACTTTCCCTTAAAACATTAATTTTCTTGTGTTGTCTTTGATTTCCTTCATAATAAAATGTTCACAATAGCCACTGGGTATTACTGTATGAAAGATAAATTAGATCATTCCTATTAGATGTAAATCCTTTTCTAGACTTGTCATCAGGACATGATTATTGTAAATTTCTCTATACATGTGAAATGTCTATCCCTGAACACATTTCCTGTTAGAAAACAAGAGATTTTCTGAGTCTTTTCATTTAGATACTGTCAAGTTGATGGCTATGGAAATGCTTTTTAAATGAATGATTAAGGACTGTATCTAAAGTTTTGAAATTGGTTTTTCTCTCCTGAATAAGTTTAATTCTGCAGCATCAAGGAGACCTGCAGATGCTCAGCACTTCTCACAGCAAAGCCACACAACATTACACGGGCACGACCCAGTGGGGGCAGCAGCTCAGTTTTATGATTCTGGATGTCTGTAACACGTGAAAACCACACTTACCTGGTGGGTCTCTCTTTATGTGAGGAGTGAGACATGAGAAATTCCTACCACTGTGACTTCTGATGGGAACTGGGCATCTGGGAGACCTGCCCTGCCTGAGCTGTGGGGCAAGGCAGAGCCTTCAACACTAATCAACCCTTTCAAAAATAACAGCTATGAAGGGCATGTTGGTGTAGATGATGCAGATTTGAAAGGGAAAGGAGCACTTTCTGGACTGGAACCTCTCCTAACTGCTGAAGTTTCTTGAAGCTGTTGTTTTGGGTTTTTTTCTCCTCTGATTTAATGTGAGGTCAATATTTCTGATCTAGATTATGCATGTAAACATCCTAAGGCTTAGGAAATGAATCTAAATCATTAGCTCTTGTGAAAGTCATACAATAAATTGTCTGTGAGTCATGCATGGAGCATCTACACAGTTCAGACACAGAATTTCATCCTTTCTGTTGTACATCAATTATTGCCACTAGTTTTGAATACTCAAAAACGTGAGATGCTTAACAAACGCTAGAAAATAGCAAGAGGCCAGTACATTCCAGAGTGTTTGTGTACAATAATTACTGTCCCCAAATGAAACTTTTTTAAACCAGTGTTTGAAAATCTTTTGGTCCAATTACTCTAAAAATCATCCATTAACAGTAGAGAGTGAAACCTGATTACTTTCAGCATCCTGTCTATGATCATTTTGGACTGACGTGGTCTTGGTTAATTCCCTCAAGGTCAGCATGATTCCAGTTGAAGCTGGCCCATAACACCCTTACACACTGGAAATGGGATGTCACCTTCATGTGAAAAAAATGCTTTTAGGTACAGGATTGATACGTGGTAGGTTTTTTTATTTGCTCTCTCGGCCTCAGAACAATGAGAGCCAAGGCTTCTGCAGGAAATTGTGTCCCTGCCTCTGGTTCCCAAGGTAGAAACACTGCGAAACATCACAAATTTGGCAGTAGAGTAGTGGGTAGACTAGCAGGACTCATCACTGGTTGCCATAGATTTCCCAGTTGATGATTATAAAGGTCTTTAAAATGTAATTCAGTTAAATATCACAAAGAACCTTTCCAGTAAGCTTCAGTTAACGACAAGATTGTATTACCAGAAATATAAAGATTTATGCTTATATTTCCACTTTTAATTCCTATTAAGCTTCCTGTGGATTAAAGATTCATGTGTATGAAAAATGGACAGCTAAGTAGATCACTTTGTATAGCACACATAAAGTTAAAGGCATTTTTAATGTTACATTTTTGAATGCTAACTGGCAAGATGGTGTGTAAAACAAAAAGCTGTCATGTAATCTGAATTGTGTCTATATATCCCGCCTAGCAGCCGACAATGAATATTTATCTAAGCAAATATTTTCCAGCGTTTCATGCTACAGTTTGTGTTTGTTTCAGCCAGATTTGAATAAACAGAATGCTCTGCAATAACTGTAACTAATATCTTTAGGCATATAACATTTGAGATGGATCTGCAATTCAGTGCAGCAGTATTCAGTTGCAGAAAAATTATTAGCATTAACCAGGAGGTAAATTACAGCTCTGATTTCACTGGTACTGCATTGTACCTGAGAATTCTATAATGCTGAATGAAATTAAAGTTTCACTTTAATTTTTATGAAAAGGAAATAGATTCTTGTTAAATTGAGCAGCATTATTATGTTTGTTTAGCATCTACCAGGCATGGCATAATGGAGTCACAAGTGTTCAGGAGATAGAACATAATAGTGCATCACATCACTTATAAAAGCACAAGATAATAATAATGGTTATTAATACAACTGTAGTATACAGGATTTGAAGAGGGAGTTTTTCTTTGAATCTTAAATTAAGGGGAAAACCTACCAATTCCTATTTCATGAAAGGCTTTGTATTAGTCTCAGTTACCCCTACACATTAAATTCAACAACTGGCATCCAAATTCACCCCAGGAAATGCACCCCAGGAGCTCTCCTGCTGTCATTGGGCATCTCCCACTTAGCCCACAGGTCTGCCCATGGGGTGCAAACTGCCACCATCCCAGACTGGTACCCATGGCTGTGAGTTTTTACAGCATTCGTGGGGATGACATGGCTGGAGTTGCAGCCCAACAAGAAATTGTCCTTGCAGTGCTTTTGTGCTTTCTGTTCCACACAGATTTGACTTGGAATTAGTGTCTGTAACTAAAGGCACTGCTTTGGCTTAGGTATTTAACAGGCCTACGCAACGTAAGTGAATGCCTGTGTGCTGTTTGCTGACACAAATGTTCCCGTTCTTTTTTCCTTTCTGGGACTTTACTGAACCCTCTGCATATAGCTTACCATTAAAGAGAAACATTTTCCTTCCACTAAATCCACTTTCACTAAATCCCTGATACACTAAAAGTTTATCTCCAGCCAGGATCACATGATGCTGTCTAGCCTACATACCACTTAGGAAATGCCAAACTTCTTATGATTAATCCCCTGACCCAGAAAGTCAGGTCCCATTGTGCTGCCTGCCTGTCCTGCACGGGGACTGTGAGCTCCTCACGAGAAATCTGCTTTGCAGAACAGTCCACCTTCCTCCCATATGGAACTGAATAGTTATATACAAGAAAATAAATTGAATGCAGATGTGTTTTTTAAAAATTTTCCTGCCTTCAAATACCTACTAGCAGGGCCAGTCCTGTTACATTTAATGCATGCTTTTATTTTCTTGGATATCTTGTGGAAATAAGTCCATGAGTTGGACTTGAAAGGTTGAAGAAAAAGTGTGATTTGGGCAGCAGTTTACAACTGATCCATGCCTAGACTCAATTGTGTCCTACAATCAGTCAATACCCAAAGCTGAACGTGATGCAAGTCCTGGTAGTGACAATAAATGTGTTTCAGGCAGAGTTGACAAAGCTCCCTATGAGCACAGCTCCTGCTTTGTTTATAATAAACTGTGAAAATGTAGAGGTATAATTTTGTGTTAGCTTCAGATTAATTTCTTTTTTCTCTGTGCAAAGAGTGAAAAATGAACAGGGAATGTTTAGGAGCACATATTTATTTGCACGCTCCTTCATTTTTCTGTGTGTTTTTGTTTATGTATCATGCAGATGAGATAGATGGATGTAAGTAGTCACACTAAATTCAGCATACCAGGAAGGGGTGGAGTGCTGGAAGCTGCTTCTGAGATTTTTTGAACAATGCCACATTATTAACTCAGAGACAATCTTTTCTTGACTATAGATATGCAGAGACGAGACATTGGAAACAGAGCTGTTGACATGGAGATTAATTTTCAAATGTGCTATAACCAGTTCCCTTCTCTGTGTGAAAATGTTTGTGGTTAGAGCAGAGCACGGTGGCAGGTGGACAAAAGAGGGGTGGTTGGAAAAAGCAAGTGAAATCTGTCTGGAAAAGAGGCCCCAGCCTGTGGTGCCGTACATCGTCTGCTCATCTCCAGATTCTCTGTTCTCCATCCGTACAAACCCTGAAGGGCTGGTAATTTGGGGTTTGCTAAAGCTCAAGTTACCCTTGTCCTTAGAGTGGGGGTCAGAATCTGGAGATCCTCAGAACTTTTCCTCACCTTGTTTTGTCCACTGATGTTTGGACATATTTCAGCATCATCAGATTGATGTGCCTGTAACAATTTTTAACCTTACTTTGAGATATTTTATATATGGGAATGGAGCCCACAAGAAAGACAGAGATGGACTTCTTACAAGAGCATGGAGTGACAGGACAAGGGGAAGTGGATTCAAACTGAGAGAGGGTTGAGATTTGAGGTTAGGAGGCCCTGGCACAGGTTTCCCAGAGAAGCTGTGGCTGCCCCATCCCTGGAAGTGTCCAAGACAAGTTTGGATGGAGCTTGGAGCAACCTGGTGATGAAAGATGTCCCTGTCCATGGCAGGGGTGTTAGAACTTGATGGTCTTCAAGGTGCTCTTCAAACCAGGCCATTCTATGATTATATATAGTGTATACTTTATAATTTTTGTTGTTGACTTATAATGACTGAAGGAATGAGCATCCACTGTTTGTTTATTAGTAGAATTGAATTTATTTGTTTTTAGTAGAAATGAAACCATATGAAGATAGGCTTGTTCCTCATCAGAAGCTGCCAGAAGAAATATGAGGACAAGTGATAAGAAAGCAATTACAGAAAATGGTAAAGAAAACTTCAGGTCCTGAGGTGTTTGTGGTTGAATAGATGGCAGTGGTTATTCCAAGTGAGTTTGAAAGTCTGATGCATTCTGAGAATGAAGCATCTTTATCTGTGAATCCCAAACATCCCTAATAACCTCAGAATTAAATTTTCCCAACTCTGCAATAGATCCTATGAATGTTTTTCTATCCTTGTTGTAACTCCTTGTCTTCTTTAGACAGTGGGAGTCATGTGCAAGTGCCATATGTCTGCGTAAGTCAAATGCCTCCCACCAGCAGTTCTTCCATGTGTTGTGGTTGATTTATATTCATAAAAAACATTCAAGGAATGATTCAGACATTGTAATTACTTGGTAATGTCAGGAATTGATTAATTAAATGCTCCAGTGTTTACTCTGCATTTTTAAGGCTGCTAACATTTCTGGGCATTTTCTTACAGCATCAGAGTGTTTGCTGGGTGAAGTTTATTAATGTAAATTGGATTTGACATAAACAAGACTACAGCTAATTATTTCATGTAAATATACACACTGTGTAGCAGAAAACTCATAAAATCTGCACATCTTCCTACTATTTTTTTCTAAACTCTGGATGTCTGTTTTAGCTAAATAGCAAATTGTCTGTTTTAGCTAAACAGCAAACTCCTGTTGCCTTCAATGACACTGTCACCTTTTCATTAGTGGAATTCTGGGCTGTAAAAATTTGTATCTCTCTGACACCTCCTTAATTTACACATGGTCATCAATAACTTTCAGCAGCCAGGAGCTCTTACATGTAGCATTATGCTAAGCTTCACTTTCTCTGTTCATTTTGTATTTCCCTGTACAGAGGGATTTTATACTCAGTGAGGACAAGAACTTTCCATAAACTGCCGTAAATGGGAGAGCAACCCCAAACCTGCCCAGGAGACGCAGCCAGAGTGCTCTGACACAACCTGCTTGTCCATATTCATTCCTCTTCCTGTCCAAAAGGCAAAATTTTCCCATTTTCTGCTGAAAACTTTAGTTGGTCCAGTGGTTTTGTTGACTTTTTTGGTAGGTTAGAAGCTCAAAGGCTTCTTGGTGGTTTCCTTCCTCTGGGATAAGCACTGATGAGTGCAGTCCATACTCTGCACCATCACCTGCATCTGCTGCAATTCCTGCTCTGTCACTCAGGGTCAGGCCCTACCCAGCCACAAGAACCTTGGGATAGGAGGGTATCCATGGAGATTTGGCCTTTATGGAGACTGTTTTGGTTCCATATCCAAATAAGCACATCCATGTGTCAATGCTGTAGGGATGTATTGCTCAGTGACTTTGCTCATGGGAGTTACAAGCTCCACAACTTAGAGGATGTAAGTGCAAACTTTCCCACTATGATAGCATCCTTTTTTTTTACTGATTTATACTTTCAGGGGAAGAAAATCAGCTAAAAGCAGCATTGATTTGCCTGCTGGACAAAATGTCCAGTTTCCTTCTCTTCTCAGCTAAATGGATGATTTGCTTAATATTTAACAGAAATGACATAATTTCCATAGCCTGCTATTTGCATAGGAAAAATATTCGTTTGTTTGCAACTACCCAAACCAGCCAAGCACCTGGAAATCTGACTGGGGGTAGTGGTTCCTGCCAAATCTGTTCCTCACCTTCCAGCTTTTGGTCTACTGGTCCACTAGGCCAGGGAAGAGCTCTTGCAGAATACTGGCCCATACATTTCTCCTGCACATGAGACAGGAGATTTGCTCCTAGAAATTGTCTTACTGGAAAACAGAAGGTTTATAAGCTGATGGGAAAAAGCATAAAACTGCAGCATTCTCTCTCCCCATTCTCTTCCCTGTGGGGAAAGAGCTCCAGCATCAGTGTCACTGAGTGGCAGAGTACCCACGCTGTTATCCAGGGACTGAACTCCCTTAGGGACACACTGGCAAAACCCAAATGCAGCAGGGCTCTGTGTGCCAGCTGCAGATCTGGATAGCGTTCATCTGAGAGCTATCCCTGCATCCCTGTCCTCAGAGAGCACAGGGTGCAGAATCTGCCTATCAGCCAATGAGCTTGTGCTGTTTCAGGCTTTACTAAACTCTGCTGTGTCTGTGGATGGTGCTGGTTAATAGGGTGGAAGCCAAGCAGCAGCAGGAGGAAAACCCAGCTGATTTTTTATGAAAACAACTGTCTTCAGATGAATTGGGAAATCAGTTTTAGTCACTGCAGCTGAGATGTAATATGAACTGTTCACTGAAGCTTAAGTGATTTTGAACAATTAAGAAATTTGCTCAATATATTTATTAAAATATTCATTACTGCTTTTTCCATAACGGTGTAATGTGCACAAGGGCTCTTGCCAGACTCCTGCTCCATTGCAGAGGCTCTCAATGTACACTTTCATGCCAGTTGTTAATAAACCTGACAATTAAAATATTGACAATTAAATCAGCAATAATGGCAGTTTTAAAAGATATTATTTTCTCTAAGCTACATGGTTTAGCTTTCACTGTTACTTAGGACCAAAAGTGAGTAATCTAGCCAGGTATGGTATTGAAAGCAGTGAAAAAATACTAATCCTAAATGGTTTTAGGTTTGTTTTTTTTTTAATACCTGATTTCTTTTTAGTGTGCAGCAGAAAGCTCACTCAGTTCTCATTGCTATTGCTTTTGGATATGAAAAACATTGTCTAGATAAGAATACACATATATATATATATATATAAATATATATGTGTGTCCTCTTAGGCTGCTGGAAAAAAGTCTATTTTCTATCAAAGGTTTATGCAGCAGGATGAAAACAAAAAATAAATATTTTACAAAAGTTATAATATTCTCTGAAGTCACTCTCCCTAGATTTAAAACTTTACCCCAGGGCACTCTTCCAAGAGCCTTCAAAAATTACTCATGTCTCCACACTCAGTGTAACAGCTTAGATGTCCCCCTTGTTGCTTTGCTAACATCATTTCCTAATTGCAACAGTCTGCTGTTTAGCTGCAGACAGCTTTGTTGTTGTTAAATTTCTAATAACCTTTCCCTGTGAAAGTGTGACTTCCTGAACTGCAGCAGATGATTGTGGGCTCTCCATGGAGCTCCCTGTCTCCAGGGCTGGACGGCTCCAGACTCTTGGAAGAACTTGTCTGTGTGCTTGTTCACTCGGTCTTTTTCTGCTCCCCAGGGACCAACGTTTTCCTCTGTGGAGCCCAGGAGCCCGAATCCTGCCTGCTTCCAAATACAAATATTTGGGGAATCCAGGGGAAGTGTTGTGGAAGAGTGGGCTAGGGCTGTGTGCACAGAGTTTGTTCCAACCAAACCAGGAGTGCAATTAGATGTGCCAGGCGAAAATGGAAAGCTTTGGGCTGTGCAGGGCTGAATATAAAGTTTACCCCCCAGCCCTGCTTCAAAACTGGCCTGCAGGAACCTGAGTGTGAGCCTAATCTCTGTCCCACTTTCCTGTTTTCTGCACGGCTCAGGCACCTCAGTTGTGCACGAGGCACTTTGCTGGGAGCTTGTTCAGGACAGGAGAGTGCTGGCAGGGGAACAGTGGCCGTGTCCCCATGTGCCTGGCTGAGGTGTGTGGGTTTGGGGGAGCTGGGGTGTCCGTGCTGCAGGAGGGGCCAGTGTCACTGTTGAGATGGTCACAATACCCCATTGTCAGAAGGCTTCAAGGCATGTTTTTATTATAGCGTGCATGCTTTGTATACATTCTTATAAAACTCATAAGTTTACACTTTACTCATTGGTCAGGAAAGACAAACAAAGTGCTCATTGGAATAGACAGTTGCAGGTTTCTCTTGTTTATCCTCCTTCCTTTCTTGGTTTCTACGTCAATGACCTTGCTAGAAAATTCTTCAGGGGTAAACATGGATCTTCTTATCAAACTTCTCTCTGGCTCTTATAAAACCTCTCTCTGGAGGTTTTACAGGAGCTGCTGTAAAACCTCTTCCAGAGGCCAGTGCCACCCCTGGCCCTGCTGCCCAGGGCAGCCTTCAGCTCCTGAGTGGCCCTATTGAATTAAGTACGTAATCAAGTGATTTGCTGGTATCCTTAATCCTTTTCACATCTCACTAAGCTCATTAAACTCTCTTTGATACCAAGCTGTGCAAGTTCCTTAAGAGAGGCAGGGACTACGTGCTATTCCTTTAGCTTGAATTTATCACCTCCAGCTTCCAGCGAGGGACTCCTGTGCTGGGAGCCTAAGGTTGCTTGAAGGGTTTGCTCTGTAACAATGGATGGGAAAATGTTCTGTGTGCTGGATAATTTTTGATACCCTGCCCAGTACAACAACAGGGATATGCCAGAACAAATACCCAAGTAACCAACCAAAATACCGAGCAGTGGATCCCGGGCCTCAGTGGAGGCACTTCATTTCCTTTCTCTTCCCTGTTTTTTCCTGACAGCCATACAGCTAACAAAGAAAAGAAAAATAAAACCCAAAAAAAACTAGCAAAACAATTAAGCATTGCAAAGTGAGATATTTAGTTCTGTCAAAAAACCCCCCATATTTAAGTATGTTTCTAGGCTTGTGCTTCAACTCAAATCAGCAATAATCTGGGTAAAGCAATTCTCTAATGCTCTCTAAATTAGATGAGCTGGTATGTGACATTTGTATGCCATCTCCTCCTGCATGCTAGAATACATGCAGCTGTTAGAAAGATTTTCTACTGCATTTAAACACATACAGAAGGCTTTTTCCTTAAAACACTGCCATCACAGTAGGATAGATTGAAGAGTGAATTTCTCATGGCTGCAAGGTAACTAATTCAGAAGAAAAAGGACAGGTTTCACTCATTATTCTGAAAATAATTTAATTTTTTTGTTTATTTGTTTAAATCTTGATCTTCTCAGTAATCCTGCAAGTAGTGAGGAATGGCTGGAGGTAGGAGGGGGACTCCAAGCAGAGCCAGCAGTGCAGGCTGCTAAGGTCTAGTCCAGGTGTGGACAACAGCATGGATGGCAATTCTACCATCAGCACAATTGCTATGTAACAGTATCAAATGTACATAAATAATTTGGAGTCTACAACTTCAGATTAAATATGCTGTGTCACTTCAGAAATACTGACTTGCCCTTACACAGCTTTACCCCCTCCTGTTCTGCAGGTGCTCAGTGTCCATTGTTTTAGGGGGACCAGGAAGAATTGTGACTCCCTTTTGAAACCCTGAGGCACCTGTGCTTTTACAGCCTTTCTCTCCCATTTGATTGGTCTTCTCATTAGTATCTGAGTACCATCATGTCTGCCTAAATGATTTTTATCCTTACATCAGAAAACAAGGCTCCACGTAATCTTTCAGACTCCACAATTTTCTGTGCTACTCAGAGCCTGCATGGCACAAGCATTCATAGGACAGAGCTCCAAGGAAGCCACAAAATACTTGTATTTCCCCTCTAGGTGTGATCTATTGGGCACTGTGAAGTGCTTTAATGAACTGTATACATCGTCTTGTTGAACATAAAGTCAGAGAATCATTTAGGTTGGAAAAGACCTTTAAGGTCACTGAGTCCAACCATAAACCACTGTGATTACTTTGGGGTTTTTACTCACATTTTCTGCTGTCACTGAATGTGCCAAGCTGTTCTAAATCACGAAGTTGCTCTAAATCTCAAGTGACTGTTTGCTATTTGCTTCACACTGACAAAATGATAACACTGGGTCCTGATCCAGGGATGGCAGAATTCGTCTTATTGGGACAGTTGATAAGAGAAGAGAGCAGAAACCTGGGCTTAGGGACAGAGGCCTTGTCTGAAGCAGATGGCTTGCTGCAGACACAGCTGGCACATGAATGTGCCAGCAGAAAGGAGGTGCTGCTAACCACCATCAAATCATGGCTGATTTTTTTTTGCACACTGACAAGATTACATACTCCCAGGCTGCTGGTTTTTAAAGAGAAACAGAATAATATTTCTGATCTGTCACAGGAAAACCTTAACATTAAGGCAGCAATCATATAGGATAAACACAAGTCTTTCTTTTTCCCCATTGTCCTTATTTCCAAAAAAACACTTTTAAGAAAATTGCTTCAGACTGAGTTTTTTTATATTATCATGGTAGAATTTATGCAAAATAAAACTGCTGATCCCATCTTTGCCTGTAGGGCAAAGTGCAGTGATGAATAAATCAGGAATATTGTTTAATATTACATTAAAAAGATGTAAAGGTATTAATACTAATTTATGCCAGATTCATTGTAGTAAAAAATATAAACTAAAATAGGCAACTTGTTTTAAAGAACTTGGTACTGCAATTAATCATCATTATATATTTGTACAGTATATATTTTTTGAACTCTAATATATGTGTATTGCAGAATGATTTCACTAGAATTAGCTTAGAAGAAGCTTCCAGCTTAATTGCCACTGAAGTTCATGGTGTTTCTCAGGATTTCCATGATTTAATGTGTTCTGAAAGAAACAGCTATATGATGCTTCTATTTACAGCAGTTAGAATGGAATTTAAACTTGGGGCAACCACAGAGTCTAATGGAAAATTTTACAATACCCAAAGTTTTTCAAGCCATGCAGTTTGAACAGGATATGGTTGAGATGCTTTTGCAGAGGCTCCTTGGGAGCTGAGTCCTACTCTTGCTTCCTGGCTGTGCCAGGGATCTTTCTTTGTGCCTTTGCAGGACCATTCTCCCTCCCTCTCTCCCTCTATCTCTGAACAAGAAAATAATTACTGTGGACAGAAACATAGAATCACTTGGAACAATTTCAGTCCTGCAAAATAAAAATGTACATTTATATATAAATTATGATCATTAAAATCAGCTAACATTTATCTTCACCTTGAGGAGACACAATGATGTACAGTCCCTGTACTGGCTGTCTCATATGCGTGGTCATGAAGATAAATGGCTTAGGAGAACCAACTACTTTGCAACAAAAATCCATATTTGTACACAAAAGAAATAATAATAGTAAAGAGACAACTTCTAATATGAATAGGAACCTCACAAAGTGGTTCTGTGATGAATCCAAAGGTGAAACAGTGGAGCTATAAAAAATGGAGCTTTTGTCTCCAGAAAGTGAAGATGGATTCTTTACTCCAATACTTGCAATTTCCTGAAGTATGAGGTTTAAGACATATTTTTGCTTTGGTGAGATATTTCACGACAGTTATATTATTACTGATAGACTTTCAGAATAATAGTAATGTGACTGTGTTGGTACTGCTTTGCTGTCATCCAAATATATCATATCACCTTATTCTGTGGGCTCATTCTGAAATATTTGATATAAATAACACTGATGTTGCCTTCCTCCTGGAAATGAGGTGGTGTATTTCTATTACTGACAGATTTCTCTGCTGAGAATAAACATCATCTCTTTGCATTGAGTTAAAAAATAAGCTTCAATAGGAAAAAATCCAAATTTTTCATCTGGTCAAGATTATTTATCAGAAGTTCTGTCTAGACACAAGTACAGGAGCTTTCATAGAGCTGATATTTCAAGTTATTGCATCTGCAAAAGTTGGACTGGAAAATAATATAGGGGCTGAGTTATAGCTTCATTTTCAAATAGGGTACATGCTATAGTATTTTTCATACTGTCCCTAAAATAAATATTTGAGTTAAATATTCAGTTCACTTTGATTAATATCTAAAGTAAACAAAATGTGCACCAAAACCAATGACTGCACTGCTGGGCAGTTATTTTTCAGTCTGGATCACGGGAAGATTATTCTGGGCTTGGAATATGGATATGAATGTATATGTACACTATTTTGTTTGTGCTGCTTGTGTATCCTCAGTGCCTCTTGTCTTCCCCTGAAATAATCTCTGAAGTGTGCAGTGCATTAGGCTACTGCCCTGTTCATGTAATATGAATCCACATGTGAATTTAATCTAGATTTTTACATCACTGTGTACATCCCTATGTACATGGGATAACTGGGAGCAAAATCAAAGTGCACTCCACAAACTGACTCTGGTTTTTACTCAAAATTTTACAAATACTTTGAACATTGAAAAACTAATATTGTAATAATTTTTCATTTAGGAATATATGGACTCCAACAAATACATAGAGCATTTAGTGACTCAGCTGGAAGAACAACGCTGGAATTTATGGAGGCAAGTACTGTGCCACGCATGTTTATTTATGTTGCTATTTTGGAAAGGATACTGCAATCCATAGTTTCCATTTCTGAGTTCAAATGAATGATTGGCTATTCAGTTTCTCCATTTTTAAATTCTTTGCAGACTAGCAAATCTTAGCTCATGAAATAAGCAGGGCAGCACACACAAATGGAATCATGCCTTTGTTAATCAGGGCATGCACAGGTTTATTCATATTACAGTTTCTAGGCAGTGGGTGATAACTCTACTTCAGATTCTTTCAACTGGACTGAATTTCAGAAATTGTCTTATATCTTTGAATATAAGTGTTTTCATTGAATGGTACACAAAATCTAGCCAAAATACCATGACAGCAGCATGACCAACCGAGAGTTTTGAAACTAAAATAAACACAGGTTTACAATTTTGCAGTGCTCTTGATAGTCTGGATTTTCTATCTCTTCTCTGTTCATGTTGCCCAGACTGCACCCTGGTTTAAGCAAAGCAGCCACATGCTGGTGGGTGTTTCTACGCTGCCTACAGCAAATTTGGTAACTGCTCAAATCCTATCTAACATAACATTTAATACAAAGGAAATGGAATAATAGCACTGATAAAATTCCTTCAACATTCACAGCAATTTTTTTAATGCAATATTTAACTTTTTTTTTCTGAAGACATATGAACAGTGACAGTCTTTTAAAACACAGTCAAATATAAAAGTATCTTCAGGGAATAATTTAATGTTCATAGACTGAAACCTATTTCACCTTAGTTCTGAGCAAGTGAGAAATAATGATCTGTCTGCTTTTTCAGGTGAATGCCTCTCATGTACAAAAAAAGAGCAACTTTGCACATGCCAGTATTAGTTCTGCACCTCACAAACTTCTTGACATATACTACTATAAAGTAGTATCACAGCATTTACAGCCTACAGCATTATGATATTGACTCTTAATTATAGCCAAACTCCTAAAGTTTGTGCTTAATTCGCCCTTTTCTTAAAAAGCAGCCAAATATAATTGGCACAAAAAATTGAAGTTTTCATTTAACATTACAGAGTTCAGGAGACTAACTTTGTAAGAATGAAGGTGATAACATTATGCAGATTACACTACTGTGGTTAAATATAAATTAAGAATAAAAAATTAAAATATTAAAAAGTACTTGAAAATTAGCAGGGGTAGAGACTTTATTATAAACAGACAGACATACTCTGAAAATTCAGTGGTTTTGAAAAATCAAAACCATCAATTTATTTTTAACATTATTTATTTTTATTATTATTTTTATGGTGTGTTGGCATAAAAAGTTAAGACTGGTAATGAGCACTACAAGAAAAACCCTTCTGGTTCAGCCAGCCTTCTTTGAACACTTTATTCCTCTCTTTTAAATCTCTGAGAAGTTTCGTGGTGAGGATTATGCTAATAGCTGGCACTACACAGGGGCAGTGCTGGGCTGTCTACAGCCAGACAGATGTCCTAATAAATCAGCAGAGCCCTCTCCTCAACCTTCATTATGCTCTTGATTTGTGACTCCATGATCTGAGCCCAGTGGGTCAGTGGGTGCTGAACCTGACTTTGACCGATAACCCCCATGGTACCTGGGGTGAGCCCATAAATCTGACACACACAAATTCTGCCCATTTGGCTCCTCCAGCCTCACTCACAGCCAGCACAGATTTATAGTGCTCAGGCCAAGGCAGAGGAGACTAAACCCAATGCCATGGTGTGCATATCAATTTTACATTTCCTTTACATCTCCACGTGTACAATGGGACTCTGAAAGACATGTGGGGCCAAAATTTCTTTTCAGTTTAGAGGACAACTGTTTACACACGGCATTAGCATCTGCTGTGGAACATTTATCGCTGTAATTGCTGTCCCAGGAGGACTGGCAATGGTTAGGTCACGTTTTATGGCTCTCCACTAAAGCAGACCTCTAACCCAGCTTCAGATTCCTTGTCCTTAAAACTTGACTAGAATGAGGGAAGGTACCTCAGTAGTTTGTGAAGATGCAGATATTATTAACAGCTTTTCTTATACTGGACATTTTGCAGTAGTTATTTTCACATTACTGATAGCATATTTGACTTGTCAGTGGTTCCCCTATTTCTCAAGTTGGAGCTCAACATTTACCCAATGTGAGGCAAATTTGATCCCCATCAATGTAAATCATCAACATTTACCATTGGAGGTGATGTGCAGTAGTGGTTGTGCATCTCCATGTATCGGATAATAAAAAAAAAAAAAAAGAAAATATTATTTTGGATTTCTCTGCCCTATCCTGTCTGAAAATAGCTTTAAACAGGACAGAATTGGGTCAGGGGAGTGCAATCCCCCTGCAATGTTATTTTATACCTAATCATTTAATGCTTTAGTTCAGCTAATATATAATTTTTTATGGGAGAATCACGTGGACAATCAACATGAGAAGCAAAAATTTGCTCCTGCAGTTTTTGCTAATTGACTTGATGGTAGATCATAATTTTTAAGTCTTGACACACCGATCAGTGGCAGCAATTACTGATTCTCTTAACAGAAGAAAAAAGTCATAATTCAGCATAGGATGCTTGCCTGAATAAGCAAAGGTCAGATCCTGGTCTTGAGAGCTTTCCAGGGAATTTTATTAGTCCTGCTACTGGAACTGGGACCAACACTTCAGTCTGCCTTGGTGAAAGCCTGAGGACATGCTGCAGTTCAGACATGACTAATATGTAATAAGTTAATGAAGGTCAAACCGCACTTCCCCACCTTATTACAGTACTGCAAAACACAGAGGGGAGGGACCAGAACTGCACATGAGGATTTCATTGCATTCCTCCTACGCTGTATATTCAAAACAGAGTTTGTTAAATAGATCTGCTCTGCTTTCATCAGCAGCATTAGCATGCTTCTGTGCTCCTGGTTTTAATGCCTGTGTACTAAAGAGGTGCCAAGTATTAAACAGGTTGCCTTTGCTGTAATCATGAACTTCCATTGGGAAGCCTTAATTGCTAACAAGCAAAATAGCTCAGTGAGAATTCTTAATGGTGAGCACAGATTAAAATAACAACTGTGATTAGCTTTAAACTGCTTGACTAGAAAAAGACTAATCTTAGGGGAATAAATTGCATGGCACACAAAGGAAAAACCCTGTGTATGATATTACAGTAATGAAGGCTGAGAAAAAAAATCAAGTGCTACCCCAACTAAATAAGGTCATGCTCCACACAAGCATCTTTTTCTTGCCAGGGCTTAGTAACTTGGCCTGAGGGGAATGAAGGTGTAAGCAGCCAGGTCCTGGGGCCAAACTCCCATTTTAATCCATTCTGGAAGTTCTCATAACAAACATTGCCTCTGGTCTGTGATGCTAATGTGGGTTATAGACTGCATTTGGAATGAATTATCTTCCAAAATTGTTGTTTGTAGTCTATGATTAGAGGTTGGTGTGGTGTGGTGAGGTGTGGTAAGAGCATGAGGTTTTCTACTTTGCTTCTTGATCCACCTGTCTGGTCATACCATCTTGGCAACACACAAAGCCAGGAAAAAGGTGTTTAGTGCTATTAGCCACTAAAGCCTGCCTCTTGTCTCTTCCTCAGCCTTTGGTGTTTGCTGGGGTGGTGTTTTCTTGGGGTTATTTCCCTACATCTCTACAGCACTGCTAAATGCATATGATAAACTTGTAAAACACATGCAAACATTGATTCCTTCTCATTTCCTTAGTATTTGAATGAGGTAGAGTAGAACTGAGTTTGGCAATTAGGAGTCATTCAGTCACCAGGTACTAATTTAGATTCTTCCAACTAATGTCATAACATACACATTTCTCTAAAGCTGAGGTTTCTGATTTGTGACCTCATATGTGAAAAAAACACACAAAAATGTAGATAAAAACCATATAAAGCTACAAAGTTGTATTACAGAACTCACTGTACTGCTTCAGATGAGCATTTCTATAGAGGATTGGTGTTTAAATATGCACATGAGGCTACCAATTTTTTTGGCCAAAAGTGCTTTTCTTTGGCTGAGCATAGATGTGGATGGTTCAGCGGGCAGTGCAGATGTGGTTACAGCCACAAAAAGCACTGTCATTCTGTTTTCTGTGAATAAGAACCCCTTGCTTCCTCTGGCTCCCCAGTACCATGTCCGTGCCACACCACAGTTGTAAAAGATGTTTCTTCAGGACCAGATTGGGTGAGAGCAATCTGTATAGTGAATATAGAGAAAAGTAAGTTTTTTACTGTTTGCCTTTTAGATTGTATTTTTAATAGGGTAATAGAAAAGTAAGAGAGGATAGTTTAAAGATTACAAATGAACCTGATGGACTACGTAAGTCCACTATAAATACTGAATGTGTAAGCACAGGGAAAGGCTGGCTAGCTGCTAGAACTCTTGTTGAAGTTGCAGTGGAAACAGTGCTTATTTGAGGATTTATCTCAATGTTTAAATCAAGACTGATCACTGTCTCGCAAACAAATATAAATGCTTCACAGAAGTTTATACCTGCTCAGATTTTTTATTAGTTCCACTAATTAGTCATATAAAATAATTGTCCTCATCTGATTAAAGTTGATAGCAATTTTATGTGCAGCTCTTTACCAGATCAATAAATAAATCTCTTTCAGCAATGAGCCATTTTAACTCCAACAAGGCATATTTTTGTGAAGTATTTACTAAGCTGACTTAAAATTAAACTCAACTTGATGTGCCCTGTTAAATGAGAAATATGATTGGCATTATATATTCATAAAAGTATTAATTTTAAAGAACATGACTCTCAGCCTGTTTCCTCTAATTGGAAAAAACTCCCATTAACACTGCTCATCAGTGCTGCATGAGTCAGGAGTGAAGTGTCAAGCCTCAGTATTGAAGTCATTACATAAAGGACTCAGAACCATCTGAACAGAAAATAATTTTGATACAAGCAAACATCTCTGTATCTATGCTAAACTACCCAGATTTCAGAACTGCATGCAAAAGATGAAAAAGTGGTCCATAAAAAGTAACTTCATACGGCTGTGTTTATAAAATTAAATAA